TTTAAGAGAAAAGAGAGGAGCGAAATGAATTTGTTCTTTTCGAAGAGAGAGGAGAGGAGAGGAGAGAATTCGAAACGATGAACCGAATAAACGGCGCGATGAAACGGAATGCTTCCGAATCGCGAAATCCCGGTCGGAGAACTGGCTGTTCGATACGAAAGAGCGAACAATATAAACTTGGGAACTTGGGTGGGGAAATATTATGGATACATAATATTGTGCTCGTTTGTATAATCGCGCGAAATCGAATGGAAAATTTCTATCGTTCTTATTCCATCGATATTATTCCATTAACATAGTATTATTTTTTATTTAAAACCGGTATGGTATCGTTGTCGCGTAATTTAAATGCACGAATCAATTTTTTCGTTATTCGAAAGCTAGAGAAGGGGGTGGGAGGAAAAAAAAAAAATTTATGAATTTTTAAAAGTCTCTCTTCATACAATTTTTCTGTCTAACGATCCGTGAACCGGATTGGGACGCACAATAACGTCGAAAGAAAACAATCAAAAATTCGTCGTGGCGAATAAAATTGCACAGTGGTACATACAAAAGTGTGCATACATCTCGCTGCCGATTTGTCTCTATTGATTTTTTTTTTTTTTTTTTTTTTACGCATCATGGTTATTGGAACGGTAAAGTAAGCTTGCAATCAACTCTCTATCGTAAAAATCAACTATCAATATTGACGGAAGCGTTGTTTAAAAATCGGGCGGATGATCAACCCGTGAAAAATATATATGTCGATTCTTGACCGCACTGAATTTTCATTTTTCTTTTTTTTTTTTAAAAATATCCATTTCCATTCAGGTTCGAAGAATCGAAAAGTTCGATTTTTCTCTCTTTGGAAGGAAGACAAACTGGCTCCGTTTCCTTGGGACTAAACGGCGCGATACGTAAACTCGAATAAAGATTTTGATCGATACACGGAAGCGTGGCGAGGTAAACACGAAAAAAGATATCGTATTCGATAAATTTCGGATAAGACTGGAATATATATACATAGCCGTAACCTTTCACAACTCTTCATCTCTGTCATCCTTTTCACGGATATTGCACGCGGATATTCTAAACTTATTTGCGAAACTGAAAAATGGTGGCTAAAATCCCAACGGCGATCGTAACAGAAAAAAAAAAAAAAAGAAAAAGAAAAAGAAAAGAAAAAAAAAGAGGAGAAAAACGATAAATATACATAAGTATGTTTGTGAAAACGTATAAAACTATAAAACGACATACTTTCACGCGATACGATATACAATAGAAATTGCATTAATATGTATCAGCAAAGTTGTGAAATTGATGCTGGGAATCACAGTTATGACATGCATAAATAAAAAGTTGGAAACAAGTAGTATGGCCGCATAAATGCGCCGACAAGCCAACAACATACGCCATCCATTTATAAATCATGGCCCGTTTCCATCCATTCAGAGTAATGATAAATAAATGTTGCGAAATGAAATTGTCACTCGAATATTAAGCATTTCGCAAACATAAACATATAACAGAGATGGATGGATTTGCAATTCGATACAACCGTTTCACAAGTGTTTTTAATAAATCACCCCTTCCCTCATTTCCATCTTGAGAATTTAATACGACATTCTCAAGATACATTTTATCCCCGGATTCTCTCTCTCTCTCTCTCTCTCTATAAAATACGAGGGCCGAAACGAACCGCCTAAGTGGGGCAACAATAAAATGCTCGACGTTTGTCGGTATGCGGTGCAACGCATCAGGAATTCGCGGCCACTGAATTCCTTGTGTAACCAAACGCGACTCGCATTGTTGCACGGGGAAAAACGAACGAGCAACCGCCGGATGCTCGACATCCGGCCAAGCTTTCCAATTACATTACCGCAGAGGTCGCGCAACGAGCGGTCATCAAGCGAAAGGACGAGGAAAAAAAAAAGAGAAAGAGAGAGAGAGAGAGAGAGAGAGAGAGAGAGAGAGAGAAAGAGAGAGAGAGAGAGAGGGAGGGAGGGAGGAGAGATCGAGGGGTGGACGGAAAGTAGAAAAGAAAAGAGGAGGGAGAAAAGAGTGGCGTACACCTAGGAAACCATGGCGACTTCGTTTCCACGCCATGTGCTTTAAACGTGGCCGTATTCCCACGAGTACCGAATAGAAAATTGAACGAGCCTGGCGCCATCTTGGTTCTCGGTCTTGAAATAAATCGGCGGGGGAGAAAAGAAGGGAGGGAGGGGGGTAGGTGGATCGGATTGCCTGTACAGGGACGAAAACGCTATATAAATGGCGTTAAGGGTGTGTCGTACAATGTTGGAACGCGAATGTATCAAGAAGGGATGAAAAGGAAAAAGTGGCGAGCTAGGATCGAATAGATTAAGATGGAGGAAGACGTAGTAGTGGCTCGTTCTAATTAAGAGAATTCCAGAAGGTGGAAATTGTTTGACAACGTTTCCATCTTCCGAGAGAGAGCCAATTACAAATACTTGGGGAACCTTTGACTAACTTGCCCGCGTTTGTAACAAGTAACATTGTCAAAGCTTTCCAAAAACGTTTAATGCCCGCGTTTGTACCGCGGATCCAACCCCCGAGTTGGATAGGGACGCGTTTCCCCAGAGGTTCTCCCGAAAGCTTCGAATCGAAGCTTGGAATAATTCCAAAAGCTTCGAGACTCAAGATTCGAGAAGAAGGAAGAAAAAAGACTTGGGAAATTTGGTAATTGGTAAAAAGGACGTCGAGGAATCGTCCTCTTTTCGAGAGAGTTAAGTCTCGAAATTCGAGAGAAGGTTTTCTTTTTCTTTTTTTTTTTTTTTTTAAACGGAGCGGAGAAATTGAGAATCTCTGTAAATTATTCATCCCCGTCTTAACGTCTGCGCGATAGAGGCAAGTATACACGTGGGAATGGCGAAATGTGTTTAGCGTGAAGGAGGAGCGTGAATTTCAACGGCAACCGCCGATTAATTCTGTGGCAATTCAACATCAAAATGGCAGCAACGGCGAATGGATGGAATCGTATGCAAATCGTTTCGAACCGTTGAACGCGGCCTATAATTCTCGGGACGATAACGCGGGAAGAAGTTTCTTCCTAGCCTAATAAGAAGCTGCTCATTGCGCTGTCTAACCAGGCAACTGGATATCAGTCATGTGCATTATTGGAATGAGGAATTGCTCGAAGATTGAGATCGAGCACCTTCGCTCCTCGAGGATTACAGGCCGCGAAATTTCTTCGATGTGTCTTCCCTTTGATGGATAAACACGGACTACGTTACTTAGACTGCTGAAACTTAAATGAATTTCTAGTTACTTTAATATAGGGAAACTTTCAAACCAATTTTGAAAAGTGGAAGCAATAATAATCCCTTTGTTGCTCCTTAATCTTGAATATTTTAAATTACTTAAATTATTTACTCCGAATCCTTACTACTTTTCCCGCGCAGTTATAAGTGCAGCTACGTAAGATAAAAAACTGTGCATTTTTACCGAGTATATATAATAATGAAACTGCAATGCAATGGAGTTTCTGAGGTATGCTCCAATAACAACCGCGTTACCGAGATCAGTGGAACCAGCATTCGCAATTCTTTGCAGTAGCTTTGCCGTAGCTTTGGATTCTGACAAAATTCTCGAACAGGAGAGGCCAATCTCGGCCACGATGGGAAAGGAAACAAGAAGGAATCGGTGTGAATTCATTCGAATCGAAGATATTATGCCATCCTCGTGAAAATGCGATGGCAACAGCGAGGCCACGAGATTATAATCCTCGTCAGGAATTTTTACGAGCGTGGATTATTCTTCTTTCCGTTTCCATGATCTCGTCGCGACTTCGCCGGATACGATAATTCAATTTGATATTTTTTGAAACTCGCTCGAGGGACTAATTACGATTAATTAATAAATCATCGAAAGATGATTAAAAGATCAAAGTTCTCGAGCAGTTCAGAGACGAGCTACATTTTAATTCTTCTTCGTTTCACAATCTCGTCGAATTATTTCGGATCCTCGATTTTTCGATATTTCTTTCTTTCTCAAAATTTCCTCGAACGTTCCAAGAACTTTGAAATGATAACTTTAATCGCGCGAGGGCGAGATACAATGGGACGAGGGGAGGAAATGTTCCGAGGATAGTAAGCAATTGTGTAAGTTGTAAACACCTTACCAACTTCGAAACGGTAATTAATTCTGAAAGAAAGGACGAGGGGTTTCTTCGATAACGGGGGAACCCCTTTTAATTACGCATCATCGCCCGAAAGCGTGACGAGTTTTCTAAAAAAGATTTTTCGTAAAATACAATTAAACGCGAAACAATCCTTCCTTCCGACCCTTCTCTTCCGGAAAACGAAGGAACGAAATTGAAATTGGACCTCGTTGAAAACAACCATGCTAACTTCCACGATTATCATTATCACCGTTTCAACTTCGTTTTTAAGAGAAGTTCTTCTTCCAAACTTTCCCCCTTTTCTTTTATTCTCATTACTTTTTCGCGCGTCGTTTCATTAACGATATATATACATTCACGATCGGTCGAGAATTCGATTAATCGTTCGGCTAATTCCCCGGTTAAATCGCGAAATTTAATCCCCCCCGCGCAAACTGTTTCGAAATGGAGGCGCGATCATCGATAACTTGGAACGGATGCGTTTCATCTGGATTCAGAGGCAACTCTATAACCGGCCTGTTAACTTTAATGAACATAACGCTCATACATTGGAAAACGCGTCCCTTATCCCCGCGGATCGAGCCTCGAAATCTGCTCTGTTTGTGAAACGAATCCATTTAATTACTCGCGGCCCACCGGGGGATAACCGAATTTTCGGCTCGGAATTTCAGAAAAATTCTCGCCACGATTTCACGAGGGAAGAGATTAACGAGCAGCCTCGTTCTTCTCTATTTTCAGAGAGGAGGGGGAAAAAAAAAAAAAAATACCATCGACATTGCAGTTTAAATTTAAATTCTACTTGCTACTTGATTTATCGAATATTTATCTCCCCGCGATGGAAAAAAAAGCAACAAAATGTTGGCTGGAAATCGTACAATACCTCGTAAACCGCGCCGAGAGGCATGACCAGACAGGCGACCATGAGATCGGCCACGGCCAAGCTGACGATCAAATAATTGGCCACCGATTGCAGGTTCCGCTCGAGCAGGATCGCAGCTATCACGAACAGATTCCCTGCAACAAAAATTTCCCCTCTGTGTCAGCGAATGTATTCCATTTTTCTTTCATTCGTATTCGACCACTGTGTAAGTAATTCAACCTCTCCCCCTCCCTCCCTCCCTCCCTCCTTCCCTCCTTCCTTCGAATAATCGTACCAACGGAAATCTTGCACGGAATGCTTTTCAGAAACGTCTCACAGTCCGTTTCATCAACGTTATCACGCTTGCCCACATACACGGCGCGTTTTCAGGACGGCTCGTTGCAACTTTTAGGGAGCGATAATTTTAATCATAGATCCGGTTAGTTGCGTCTCTCTCTCTTTTGTAAATAATTCATAAGCTGATTGCCAAGGATTCTCGAAAAGCGTGAATACCTGCACGATTCCAGATCTCCCCGTTAAATTTCGCGTATTACTTCCTTCTCTCAATAATTCCTCGACGTCGCTTTTCATCCCCCCTCTCGAGGTGACGAAATACCACGCCGTGAACCACGGGAGGAATCACGGGTTCCAACTCACAGAATTTTCAACCCCAAATTCCCCTAAATCAGTCGACTTCATCAATCTTCGTTATCCTTTGATTGCCGGGCGCACAGGTGGTTAACACTTCAACTAATTATCCAATGACGGAAGATATATATATGCGCCAGGTAAGTTTCATTTGTCAGCAAATGAGGGACGTTCGAGACAACTCCAGCAATCAGTCTTTCGACTGATTTGTCCTCTCCCGCTTCGAAGGCTCGGCAAATGTTTCGACAATCCGCGTGATCTGTTCGATCAGCCAGGGAGATGCTAAACGGGACAGACGCTGGTTTCGATCCCGTCTAATTATTCCTCCCCTCCCCCTTTCCTCTCGTCCATCCAACGTTCGTCAACCCGATCGAAGCGAAAAATTAATCCGCATCGCGCTAGGGTGCAACGTCGAAACGATGAATCGCTGGACAATGAAATAACGATACGAAAAAAATAACGTCGATACAAAAAAGGAAAAAAGAAAAGAGGGGAAAAAGGATATTCGCGAAACTCGGGAATTTATCTATCGTTTGCCTAAACCGAGAATGAGATAAAACGGCGCGCAGCTGGTCAAGCGACGATCGAGATCGATCATCTTCGATCACTGGGTAGGGGCTCACGGATAATCGGAGGGGAAACTCGATCTTAAAAAAATTTTCACGCTCGCGCTTATTTGTAATTTATCGGGGATCGACGCGAGGGCTAAATTCTACGCGGTTTAAATCAATGTTGAGATTAACGGTTTGCCGCGTTACAACCTCGTCACGGCCGGGTTACACGGTTTTCTACTCCATTCGGATCCATCGGTAGAAACGAACGTGAGTACGTACACCTTCAACGCTTTTCCAACGCTGATGTCCTCCCGTTCTAAATCCTTTTTTTTTTTTTTCCCCCTTTTACGATAAGAGATACCTCTTTCTGGGGCGTGTAAAACGTGGATGTAAAACGAGATGCGAAAGGATTTATATATGGGAAGAGGAGGGCGAAGTCGTCGACCCTCAACGTGTACAAGGGAAGGAAGGAAGGGAAGGAAGGGAGGAAAGTCGCGACCGATCCATGAACGGAAAGATTTTTTTCTCCTCCTTCGAAAGTTAAATCGTCCAAGCTTCAAGGATCGTGGCTCGAAGGCGGACACGAGCGTTTTTACGACACTGTAAAACTGGAGACTCGGCATAAAATACGTTTAATACGTATATAAATGAACGGTGCTTGGCAAGGTTCTTTTCAAATTAGCGATTCTCTCCCCGTTTATGGATGGTATTAAAATTGTTCGGGGAAATGATTGTACGCAAGAACATGGAACTTTGGAAACCGGGTTCCGGATATTTTTTTTCCTTTTTCTTTTTTTTTCTTTTCAGACTCGAAGCATGGTCGTAAGTTCGATGTTGCAAAGTTGGGGCAAAGATCGTGCGAGGATTGCAAGCTCGGCGGTGGCAAATTCGTTTAAGGGGCGCAAGCTCCACCTGGAGATCGCTGGAAGATCGTAATATTAAAGTCAACGTTACGCGAACATTTTTGAATCCTCCTCTTCCGCGAAGCTTGTAAATTCGATAAAGAGGTCGGTCGAGAAGTTTGGTATACTTTTCAGAATACGGAATTTCGCGAAAATATTACTTTACGTCACTTTAAACGACGATGGGTCGTCAATTATGATAATGAGTATACGTTTCGATTTAAAGATCGCTCGAAAGAATCTTTAAAAATTGCATCAACGTTTCTTTCAAGCTTATTCAAGAAATCTAAATACAAATTTACATTCGTAATACGGGCGACAACCTACTTTTTTTCTCAATAGAATTTTCTCCCATTTCACCGTCATAAATTAAACACAAAACTAATAACATTAACCGGTTTCACATTCTTACGAATTACGATCTCTTATTCTCTATCTTGTATATCGTATTCTCGTACTTAAAACGGAATAGATACAATCGAGATACACTTTTCATCCTTTATCCTGCCCGCTTCGTTCATTCATTCGTAACGACGAAATTTCCTCCGTCGACAAAGCTTCTTTCCTGTAACAAAATATGCGCACCGTTATCCAACCGGTTCGTTAAGGCCATTGAACCGTCGTTAATCGTGGTCACGATGTTTTATTATAAACGAATACGTGACACAACCCGTGCAAAATGCGTGACGCGAAAGCGGAAACGCGTTTAAACGGCGCTGCTCCTGATTCCGGTTTCAAGGCGAACGCAATGGGCGAATGCAGGTGGAATACGTAACAGGCGGTGGCCGAAACCTCCCATTCTTCTTAAATTATTCAATTTCTCTTCCCGCGAGAGAACGCACGCATGTAAATTTTCCGATATTGCAAATCGTCTTCTCTTCCCACCGCGATACATCATCGTTGCACTTTGCGAAAAATCCCTTTGAGAAAAATCCAAGGATACGCAGCATCGCCCTGTTTCTCCAATGTTTTATTATACACGAAACGTACGGAATATTTCAAACGGTGAACGGTATGTGTAAAGAAACGCAATAGAAGAAATAGGAAGGAACACAAACGTTAGAACGATAAAAAAGGAAGAATACAATAATTGGAATTGATTGTAGGTGAAAAATTATCCTTTATCTTTCTTTCTCTTTCCTTTTTCAAGTGGATGAATTAAACGTTATTCGAGATAAAGAAAAAAGAAAAAACAGTAAGTATCTCTTTACCGCAAAAGATAAAATCAAACGACTATTTATTATCAAACAGGCAATTATTGGACAATAAATGTGGCAAAGTATCGAGCTTGGATAGCCAATTCGATATTTATTGAACCGTAATACGGAGGATTATAGGTAAACTATATAGTTCTCCTAGCAGCAGTTTAACCAGTTTAAACAGCCCCGTTTCTCGAAACACGAAAAATATGGCGGTGTGCGACAAGATGGAAAATAATAATTTTTGCGCGACGATCAACGGATTAATCTTTACACACGCCACTCGTGTATATCATATCAACGGGCAAACATTTTAACGAAGAGAGACGAAATCGTGAATTCCCATGGTGGAACAATTACTCGAGAGTTGGTTGCACGACATCCAACTCTCACCATCCAATAGGAAAATTTTGACGTCGTTGACAAGCATCTCGGCTTCCGGTCGTAAAATATGTCTCCTCGACACAGACACAGATCGAGCACGAATCGAACGGATCGTTAGTCAACCGGTGAACTGTACCAACAACGACCAATTTACAATCGGTAGACAAGTCGCAGAAAGGGGAAGGGGGTGGAGGAAACAATCGGTTGGCGGTCCCCGGCCGCCATCACTGACACAACGTCCTTCTTAATCACGTCGTCGCCCTAATCGGTGGCACTTTTCGAGACCGAAGTTTAATCGCGTTCGACGTCTGTGACGAGCGCACGACCGTTGACGGGCCGCGAATTATTAGATCGGGGCGAAACTTTGCCCTCAACTTCCCCCCTTTTCCCGGCCCGATCCGATTCGTGGCCGATCATTAGCAATGCGAGTGGGGTTGTAAATAACAGAACTTGCCAGCAACAGCCAAGTTTCGGTAAACGAGCTTCGAGTCTTGATTCTGATAACTCGATGAAATTAATCATCCATCCTCCCGGATGGAACTGTATCTTCGATATCCTCGCTCGAATCCGTTCGAAAGAGCGACGTGGAAAATATTTCCCCGTTTAATTATCCGCGATTTTAATATCGAGCTTCGAATACCTTCATAAATGGACCATCCTTTCTTCGCGCCATTATGAAGGTCGATAATCGGATTTTATTAATTTAATTTCAATGATTCTTCGGGGGAAACGAGTTCTAAGCTTGGAATATCGAAAGAAAGAACGGATTCCGGAGGTTTTTTTTTTTTGTAAATGTAACAAATTTCTAATAATCTTATGCAACGAATCATCTTTCGAAAAAGGATATCGGTTGTAATACAGCGACACGAGAATAAAATGGAGATGTTTCGTCACGAATCGGCGATACATTTGGTAAAAACGAATATCGAGGAGGAATATCGCGATGTTCGTTCGAGCGTTGGCGCGAGGCTAGCAGCCGGAAATTTACTGTCATATTTATTTCCGGAACGTTCATCGGCGCGTTACAATTTTCCTATCGAACGCGATAGTCGTATCGAGGTAACGATCGAATTCTCTCCCATCTCTCTCTCTCTCTCCCGATCCGAGAGTCAAATAAACGTTCCGAGAGAAAAGTGTTCCATCGCGAATACTTGGCCCAACTATATATAGTTACTGGTTGAATTCTTTCGTGGCAAAACTCATTGATTTCGCGCAACTTTTCCAAAGAATTTCCGGTCGACCGGCCCGGCCCGTTCTAATTAAAGTAGTTGGCGGTTGCATCCAACTACCGCAACTCATATCCCCCACAAACTTTTCTTATCCTTTCGCCGTTTACTCTTCCATCCCCTGGGAAAATATTTCGCGATAATCTCTTTTTTCCGTTTTGTCCATTGTCTTCCTCTTGTCCCCTCGATTATAATTATCGGAATGTGTTGAATCGAGATACGATTATTATTATTATTTTCTTTTACAAGATTTATATTTTGGTTGGTTTACTTGAATTTCGTGAATGCAATCGATCCCAGGAACTTGCCTTTCTTTCTCTCGAAAATTAAGTAACGATGAGAGCGACATCGTTGTCATTTTGAATCGCATTGTAAGTATGTAGAAACGGATATGCAATATGTCCATGAAGATTCTCGTTGGATATCGACGAGCGTGGTTTCGTTTGGCAACGACAATGAAATTTATCAGGAATACGATGAATTGAGAATGATAAACGACTCGAGGAATCCTGGATTAATTAATAATAATGTCCGAGATAAGGTAAGAGAACTAAAGTCTCGTGGAAGGAAACGGTGACGGTAGACAGAAATTTATAGTTCCTTTCACTCGTCGACGCGTTTATAATATATATTAAAATTTATTAATAACTCGTTCATATGGAAATTGAAATAGATTAATCGTGAAATCGAACGAAAATATTGTTGCAGTTTCGATTTCAATCATCGGACATCGATCGATCCCAACGTTGAATGATAATACCACGGTGGGATAGCGTAATCCAGTATGGAACGGCATAAAGGTTTACGATCCTTTTCTATACAGTTTAAATAGGCTATTCAATATCCTGGACGACTAAACTATCTTCTTTCTACTCGGCCATTGCAGACGTATAGAAGAGACGCGGTCGATATGGGCAGCGCCTTTCCTCCGCGTGAAAAAGACGTCCAACCTTCTCACCATTATATAATATATATATATATATATATAAAGAAATATCGTACGATTTCGTTCGTATCGGTCGAAACTGACTCGAAACGTAGAATCGAATCTGTCGTTTGAAAGCAGAAATATTCTGCCATTCGAAGGATAGAAGAAATATTATTATTTCATCGACGGGTATAATAAGTAACGTTTCAATCCTCCATAATCGTCTTTCATTGCGATTTCTCCCTATTATTTCAGCCGGAAGAACATTCCTCCTGTTTGAATAGATCACGGGAAATCGAAGCCAATCTCGTTCGAATTAAATTCACCGATTGAAAATGGGATCGATTCCCCATTTGGAATCGGGGAAAATTTCATTATCAGATTTTCACGATTTCGCCCGGATAATGAATTCAACGCTGTGAAATTCCGGGCAAAAATTTGCCCATTTATATCGACACGCGGTGTCGTGTTTCAATTACGTGGCCTACGTCCAATATTTGATCATGTAACAATTCGCTAATGACGAGGCTAACGAAATGAATTAATTAACAACTATTAGACGAACAACTCGCGCGTACGATCTAACCTACCTACGTCGATAGGTTTAGGCATTATGGATGAAACAATCATCACCGCTGCTTCGTTGTTATGCCAAGTTATTAATTATCAAACGAGAGAAAGAGAGAGAGAGAGAGAGAGAGAGAGAGAGAGAGAGAGAGAGAGAGAGACAGAGAGCCACTGTATTAATTATCAAAGTTTTCACAGTTTCGGAGGGAATATCCTACCAGTAACCGCAGACACGAAATATCGATCTGCTAATTAGATTTTCAAAATATTGACCCCGCTTGACCGTTCCAAGATCGGTATCGATTTAATCGCGTAAATCACGATGGAAAAAACTCGTTAAAAAAAAAAAATCCCATGAATTTTTCATTTTCGATCTCGTAAACTTAATTTAGAATGGGACACGACGATACAACAAAAATGGCTTTTCGAAACAACAACAATTTGATGATCAAATTGCCTGTCGGTTCGAGGCCCGAATTTGGTCGCAGATAACGTTCCTTCGTTCTTTTAATCGAGTTTCCTTTCTAATTTTTATTCCCTTTTCTCTCCTTCCCTACTCGCTCGCTTTTTTTCCCTCTCGATCAAAATCGTCTCTCGAATTATACTCGTATAATTCGAGAGGAGGAAAGTTAATAGAAGATTGGAGGTGCCGGCAAAAAATGTAATTAACAATCCTTTCAAGGTGGCCTGAATCTCGTTCCAACCATTCTCAGAAATGGGAAAGATCTCGAGGACAGGCAGTGTTTCGCAAATTCTATTTGACTTGGAGGAACAGCGAGCGAGGAATCAAGTAATCTGCAGCTTATCAAACGTATTGTTCCTATGTATCGTGCGGAACAAAGACCGATCTGAAGATATTCTCCTCGTCTCTTCTTTAAACTCGTTAAACGATTTCGAATCTTTGGATCGCGCGTGACAAAAAGAAAAGAAAAGGCGAAACGCGTGAATTGTTTCTCTCGATAAGAAACGAGAAGAGCGACAACGAACGAACGACAACAAATCGATACTCGATAATTGAATTCTGTAATAAACACATTTCAAAGATATCGTTTCTGCATAATTATCTTGTTACGCTTTGCATTTTTTTGCAAGTTTAATAAGCTATTGAAATGCAAATTGCCTTTGACTCGCATACGTGAATGTAATCGCAGTGATTAATAAACGGAAAATATAATGAAACGTTTTTGGATCGATTTTACGTGCCAAACAAATAGCAAAAATGTCATGTAAAGTTAATTTATCGAATTATAAATTAACGGAAATTCACTTTAACCGAAGACGAAAATAGAACTCGATGTAACAGATAATATAAATGCATAATCCACCAGTTAATAAACAGATCTATTAATCTTAATTCTTTTCTTTTTGCATCTATTTTCACCTTTATTAAAATCTAATTCTTTATTTCGCCGATATATAAACATCCCACAGTAATGTTCGCATTAAAATTCACAATACGCAAAGATACACCCGTAAGCAAACCACCGACGAAAGAGAAAATCCAGATCGAAGAAGAAAAATAATAGACTTAGATATTTTTCGCGGATAATGTCAAACATCGCGTTCGACGAGGGCCTCATGAAATTCCAATCGAACCATTAACCACCTGATAACTCTTCCAACTCGTTTCACCCGCGGATATTCCTCCCCAACTTTCCAAATCCCTTCACCTTCCTCCTCGTAAATCCTCGCTCCAAGGCGTCACGCTCGTCCCACCCTCGTCATCACCCCCGATAATACATTGAGCGGCGTGGAAACGTGTCAGGTTTGGATTAATCTTCCATTGTGCCTGCGCGTTTCACAATTGTGCACTATCCGCCAAATTGCGCAACGACACCGACTTTCGTCAAACCGACTTTGAAAGGGAAGATTGTATGCGTGGGGGCTGCTGATACGCGCATAATAATCGAGAACGAGAACGAGAACGATCGATCGAAAGACACGCGTAGACACGTCCAGTCCGAGAAACGAAAACGACCAAGTCGCCTTACCACGTCCATTTCGTTTCGAGGGTATCGAACAACCTCGTTTCGAAGGCCTCGAATCAATCGGGACAACCAACTTCCACAGATCCATCCCCCTCGGGAGGATATATCCGAAAGCAATTACTCCGCACGGAATCGGAGAGAAACGTTCACACCTTCGGTGGAAGGTGGCGATCTTTCCACAGAAGGAGAGCGTTGAATTATCCACGAATCTTGTTATAAATATTCCAAGATCTAGATTCGTAAATTTTTTCCCTAACCCGTCGTGTCTTTGTCTCGTGTGTTACGACGCTTGGGATCTCTGCGATTTATGCTTCTACCCTCCCTTTTGTCATTTTAGATCGTTCTTTTATCGCGATACCTTTCTCGTTTTTTCTTCGTTCCGGACGAAACCATTTTAGAAAGAAACTTTTGAGAACTATCGTTGATACCGTTCTTTTTATTTTTTAATATATATATATATATATATCAAGAAAACGTGTTTCGAATCTCATTCTATAATTTTTTCCAGTACAAGTTGTTCGATAAGCGGGAAACAAATAAAACTTTGCCCGTAAGTTCGTTTTAACAACCTGTCGAGCGTTTTGTCCGAGCGTTGAAGAGAGAGGCTAGAACTTACCGACAACGGTGACGAGTATCAAGAGACCCAGCACCAATGTTCTGAGAATGATCGAGGCATCCGTGAAAACCAACCCGTCCGAGGTCGAGTTTCTCGTCTGGTTCACGTGTTCCTCCATTACGCGCCACGTAATGTATTCTCTATGGAGGCAGGCAGGCACTGTCAATGTCCGTCGATTATCATCTCTTCGAGAAACGTGGCATGGTCCAGCAGATATCAATGTCCCGTTCCAAAGAGGCGGACACTGCGCGGCCCGTACGATGATTAATTCGTTATTGATATCTTAATAATAACGAAAGCGTGGTCGAAAGCGTTATCCCGTAACCTCGCCTTCCGTAACTTTGCCCGGGATCCATCTCGAGCACGATCGTGTATCGTCACCCTTGCCCTCGATCAATCGCCCCCCTTCCTTCTTAATTCGAGCGAGCCTGCAATATAAAAAGTTAAAGAAAAATGTCAATCGATCGTGTATCCAATTTGTGCGTGAGAATAAATGGAGAGGAGAATCTGTTTGCCCCGTCCAACTATATATTTTTCGTCGAGTTGTCTTTGGGAAGGGGGAGAAGGGGTCGAGAAGGAGATGAACGAGAGGTATCCACTTTCAACGCGAAAACCGATGAAATTGGAGTAATCGATCGACAATTATTGGAATTGATGACTCGAACCGGTGCACTCTCGGTTCGATTATAAATATAGGAGAGAGGGAGGGGAAGAGGAGGGCAAATTAAAGGGCAAAAAAAGCAGAAAGAGGGAAAGAGAGAGAAAGAGGCTATGTCCGCGATGAACAAGCATCATAAATTGCTTGTCGAGATCACGCGCGCTATATTTAATTTTTCGATAGACGCGTTTCATCAACTCGAGCTTGTGAACGATCCCTGGCTTCCTCTGTCTAGATTCAATTGTCGCCCGAAATCGAATTAACGTTCCGTGAATTATCGCTTGAACAGATGGATTCTCGTGCGATCACACTTTTAAATACTTCATCAGACGTCCTACGTCCATTTCGTAGTCGGTCGGCCGTACTGGAAAAATACCAACGCGTCGTGTCGCGAATTAAAGTGACGTCGATGGCACTGCATACAGGGCAAAACAGAATGAATCAAGGATGGGAGGGGGAGGGATGAATCGTGTTGAATCGTGTCGAGAAATTTCCGCTCCTCCCAGAGACCGTTAAAAAAGTAAAGCGGATAAGAGATGTGAGAGAGAGAGAGAGAAAGAGAAAGAGAGAGGGTGGAAGAAAAAGAGCATCGATCAAGATTCGGCCATTTTCGCGGCCATTTGTCGAAAGAAATTTAACGCCGATTTCGTTTCCGAGAGAAGGTCGGCTCGTGTTTTCACGTTGAAACGAAAAAAGCCTCTCGTTTTCCTTTTTTTTATTTTTTTTTTTTTTCCCCTCCGCGATTGTTCATCGACCAACTACTCTTGCTTGACAAGACATTCGCTGCAGATGACGCGAACATGCGTATCATGATGAGTTTTCCTATGCCCTGACTCATGCTGCGTTATGAATTTATTCAAGAAATATATATATATATATATATACATATATACTTTATTACATATTTTTGTATATGCACGAATGTTTCCATCAATATGCATACGCAATTTTTTTTAGACACTTGGTCGCGTTTCGCAATTTCATAACTGTATCGTCAAAAAAATTGCCGGGAAACTCCAGCGAAAAACTCTCTTCAATTTTTGACGAGCATTGAATTTATTAAACGATATTTCAATCCTTCGTTAGTATCGAATCGACGATAATCGCTTCTTTTATCAACGATCGACGACATATGCGAAACACTGGCCAGCGATTAATGACCGAACAGTGCTCGAGAAATAATTTGAACGGGTCCGCTATTCGCAATTACCGTCGCGTTCGGCTGCCGTTCGTAATGAACGCGGGGGAGGGGAAAAAATAAATTTCAATTAAAACTCGTTTCGAAGGAATTCATCAAACCTGCGGCCTGGTCCTTCCCGTCGTTTCCCCGGCATCAATTTCGCGGAGGACAAACAACGTCGACGACTTTCACCAACTTTTCCGACTTTCTCTTCGCCCATTAATGACCGCGACACTCTTTCCCTTTCTCTCTCTCTCTCTCTCCTTTAACGACCGACACCCATCCTTCTTTTTCCCCCAGGATCTTGGCAATCCACGGATCATTTATAACCATAAGAGGCTTTTTCGAAAGCGTCAATACGAATCTCGTTCCGGACAAATTATCCTTGGCTCTGGAAATAACGTTCAACTCGATTTGTTTTTCGTTTCGCACGCGCGTGGGAACACACCAAAGTTGGCAAAGCGACGAAACAAAGGTATCCGCGGAATCGAGCGTTGCTGCAACCAGTTGTTCGAGACGCGAGGGAGGGAGCTGCTTAATTGCACTATTGTCCCAAAGATGTCGTAATCGAATAAAGTAGCAACTCTGGAAGCGAGTATTAATTAATTTATTCGGCGAGCTATCGGCTCGAGAGCTCTCTTAGATATTAACGAGCCGAATCCACTAACGAAAATGAATTATCGCCAATCTTAAATCATTCTTTCATCCCCGCCCCGTGGAATCGGCGAGGATCCTAATAAAATTCTCCCAATATAATGCGTACGAAATTAACGTCGAGACAAGGGGATAATCGAATCTGGGAAATGCCATGGAAATCCATCGGCTCGAGAGTTTCTCCTGCGCCGCTAATGAAAATGAACGTCTCCGCGTCAACGACGATTTCTTTCCCCACCGAGTTGTACGGGCCTGATAAAAATTCTCGAATAATCGTGCGCGCGAAATTAATCAACGAGGCGAGGGGATCGAATCGAATCCGAAAATCCCTTAAAATCCATCAAGAGTTTCTTAACCGCTAATAGAAACGAACGTCGCCGCGTGAACGATGATTCTTCCCACCCTCCCCCATTATAATAATAAAATTCTCGAATAATCTTTTGGATCGAATTTGGAAATCATTCGAAAATCTATCACGATTATCCTTTCAATCGCTATTATCCTAGCTTATTAACGAAAATATATATCGTTGCAATTTCGAATCGAGTCGAAAATCGCTTGAAACAATCAAGATTTCCATTTCAATTTCCATTTCCGATCAAATGGCTCGGGCACAAAGGCAAAACGAGACGTTTCTAATCGAAATCGTCGATCGAGTAACGATTATTATTCGAAAACTGGAATTTGCCGGGGGAATTTGGATCGAATTAGAGATGGTTGATGGTTTTAGATGCGTGGGCGTTTCTAAGCAGCTTTGAGCGGGCTTCGAGAGGCGGCTAAGAGGCGAGCCACCCCTTAATCCGCGGATCTCGTAAGCTTGTGTAAACGGAAAGTCCTCGGTCGAAGAGGAGGGAACTTAGTTACACGGGGGCTAATGGAAGGAAGCACGGGGCTAAACAATATGGGCAGCGACACGCTGATAAAGTTGGCCGGCCCAAGAAACGTAATTAAGGGTGCGGAAGTTAAGTTAATTTTGAAATACCGAGTTACTCGTGTCGTCGGCTTCGGCCCAAGACCACCACCACCACCACCACCGCCACGACCACGGCTCCAACTCGAACCCTGTAAATCAATTCGACATCTCGGCGTGGCTCGACGTAAGTTCGAGCGTTGGCGCGACAGGAAAGGAAACTTTGAGCGAAAAGATCCCGATTCTGAACTGATTTTTTGCGACATCCACCGCGATCGTTCGTTAAATTCGAAATTACTTCGAATTTAATTGCAAGATGGAAGTGGTTTTATCCAACTGCGTCGATAAACGTGACGGTTCAAATAGAGATTTTTCGAAGACCACTGGGTGTTCCATCGGTTCGCAAACAAAATTGTGACTCGAGTGATAGAATTTTATGGGGTGAAATAAGGGTTTCGAGGAACGGAGGTTTCGAAACGATGAATGGATGTGGAGGAAGAGCGCTCGAAAGAGGAGAGTACTCGTGATTTTTGGAGTGGCCACGCCGAATAGAATAAACACAGCGGATTTTACTTAATGATCACCCGCTCAAAGCTCGGTCGCGTACTTGAAATACGTGCATCATCTTTTTCCAAATTGATTGCAAGCAAAACGGTTGATTGCGGCCAAAATACGAATTAATGCAAGAACCATCGACTCGATGTATCGGGTCGTACGTAATCGCCGAAATGTTCATTATCCGAAGGAACTTGCCATAAACGATGAAACTTTATTTTCCACCCTCTTGAAAAACAAATTCTCCATCACCTGCCACGTGAAACTCGCAAGTTTTAATTAAACGGGAAAATCGTGGCTCCGCGTTACGCCTTGAATTTCGCGAAATATTTTTTGATCCATTCAATTCGCGCGATCAGAGGTAATTTCAAACAATTTCTAATTACTTGCTCAATTACTCGCTCGCAAAAATGATCAAACTTTAAACTTAAAAAATTTCACCGATAAATTTCGGTCGATAATATTTTCCTATTGGCGCGCGAGAAACGTCGGCCGATAATCATCAGCGGAAAACGGTGGACGATTTCTGAATCGCGTCGCGAGATACGTTTTTCTCGCAAATCCATTAAAAGAATTTTCGTCGGGTCCCGTTCGATTTGAATTATGAAACAGCGGGAAAATCCTCGAAAAGCTGGTTGAAACGTGGCGCGCGTTATTGTCGCGGAACATTACAACCGGTCGCAATATTGGGAAAAAGAGGCGAAGCGAAACGAGGGGGGGAGGGGGGAGGGAGGCGACTCGCGAGAAGTCGGAAGAGAAAACGGTACCGGTTGCTCTGTCCCATGAATAAAATATGAATCAACCGGGTGTGTGTGTGTGTGTGTGCTGTGTTTTTAGCGAATGAAACGCGGTTTCCTGGAGGGGCGGGTTTTCATTTCGCGTTACAGGGGGTGGGAGAAGAGGACGCGTAATTTTTCATCCCTGTCAGGACGGGCATGGAGCGTAATAAAGGAAACGCGCGCATCCCCGTCGATTCTTAAATTGCGCAATAATTTCCTTTCGCCCTCAGCGTGGAAAACGAACGAGGAGAAGAATCAAACGGGTATTCCGTTTCCAGCGATCGACGACGTGTCCAATGTTTTGAACATTCTGAATATTCACGAAGAGAGAGAGAGAGGGAGAAATTGAAGAGGATCGATTAAAGGATCGTTTCGAATGAATCGTCGACAGGAGATTTTCAACGTAAGAATCGGCCCCATTATTGTCCACCGGACGAGCCTTTCTGTGAAATTGAAATTGAAAATACACCGCGTCATCGTAGAAATGGATTTTCGCCGTTCTTTCTTTTTTATTTTTTTATTTTTTTTCATAGGGAGCGGCGCAATTTTAAAGATAAAGAAGTAATCCTTATATTTGTACCCGTTATATATATCACGATCATCCGAGATTCTTAAAACCTTGTCGCGTAACGAATATCAAGGGCGGTATAATCTGGCGAACAAACGGCGACTCCTCTCGAGCATCCTCTCCA